TCGACATCAGTCTGAACTGATGCGGTACTTGAGAGGTGCCAGTGTTCACAGAATACAGGAGGGGTAGGGAGAGTGGGAACAGAGGTAGAAGAATCAGGCAATATACATACAATCCCCTGTCCCACTGATGGACAAGACACCTAATCAAACAGAAAAATAAATTTCCCGTAAATTACTCCAAAATTCGTAATAAGAATTTACTAACGATTTAATCAGTAAAATTAATTAATGATAAATAACGAAATAATAATTCTTAATGATAATCCAAAAGATAACCAATAATCAATATTTGCAAAAAGATAAATCAATAATTGCAATCATAAACGAATTTGAAAGGTATTATGATTAGGTCTCGTTGAGATCACTTTGAGTCCGGGAGTTCACCGTTAATGAGTGAACTACTCTGAAGTTGCAGTTTGAGGGTCAGATACGGCTTAGTGTGCTAAAAACATTTCGAAAATTTTCAGAAGAAAAAACGCTCGAATTTTCAAAAACGTGAATTTTTGGGAATTTCCACCGTCAAAATCCGATTTTTAAAAGCCTAAACCTATTTTAGGAATTCCTCAAACAAGGGGAACGGAAAAAAAAATTCGCGAAAATTTCGGTCCCAACCCTAATTTTCCGCATTTCCGCGAAATTTCCTGATTTACGGTCCCGAAACGTTCGACATCCCCCAAGTTGAAAATTCCAAAGATTTTCGTAACCCTAATTTCCAATACTGAAAGACAACGGAAATCCCAAAAGAAAACGCAATATAGGATTTACAACAGAATGCCGAAAACAGAATGCTGAATGGAAATCAGAAAAACCGAATTTCAACCATGATACTGATTCAACCCTAATTACGAATTACTAACCAGAAATCCGAATCAAACAGAATGTTGGATTAGTATCAATTTCTCGGATCTAATTAAGCAGCGTACCGGCATAAAACAGAAATCCGAATAATAAGTTCGAATACTGAATTGAAACGGAATGCCGAAATAACCAGAAGACCGAAAAAAAAAATTTTGCAACTTTAATCTCGATAATAATTCAGCGCCGATTTAGAAGATCAAACAAAATAATCTAATTCTAAACGGACTTACCTGGTGAGCAGATCCGTTATTGGTCTGCTCCGATACCAAAACTGTTGCATACTTCAATGAGTATGGGCAGAACCAAAGATCAACCAATGTAGGATGAGCATATATGCAGCGGAAGTCTGATAAACGGACTGACTCACATAGTATCACTCCACATACACACAATCGTGAGATGGTGGGGTCTGGGCCATTCATAGACGATGCCCAGATCCCGTACACGCATTCACAAATGAAAGGTGGGAGGAGAGACGAAGGAGGTGGGGAGGTAGACAACACCGATAGATAGAGTCTGATAGGTCTCCGATATGGTAGTCCAAAATGTCATACAACAAGATCAAAATGTCGAGGCCCATAGGTCACCAATGTCGGAGATACAGAGTCCAGATGTAACCGGTGTCCAACTGTGATGCAGCCGAGTATCAACCTCAACAATCTCCAAGTCTCCAATCAGGTAAGTACCACAGTCTCATATCACCGAAGTCCAACTCTGATCTCTGTCGAACTAGTATAAGTCTCTAGTCTGAAGAAGAAGAAGAAGAAGAAGAAGGAGGAGGAGGAGAGAGAGAGAGAGAGAGAGAGAGAGAGAGAGAGAGAGAGAGAGAGAGAGAGAGAGAGAG